CATCAAATCACACACCAGATGCTTTCAAACATTTTATTTTCTTAGGTGGGAATACTATTATCACTCCATTTTCGTAACATACTGTGTGATATTGAAACAATCCCCCCACTTTTAGTTTTTAAAGATAACTACCGCTATCATTCCTCAAAAATCCAGTAAAAGAGTACATGTAAGAGTACATCCAAAAGCAAAAAAATGTTTAGGAAAAAACCCTACATTCCTTACCAGAAGACATTGCCCAGAGAGGATGTGGAATTTCCATGTTTTGCCACATATGATTCTTGACTGGAAAAGGTATTGAACAAGTCTGCTGTGGCATTATTTAAAGTTGCATGTCACCTTGTAGAGCTTCTCCTCAAAAATGTATTGTGCTTACCAGAAGTTAGTATTTTGAAGGCAAAATCAGATTGTGAGAAAATGAGCCAACTACCAAAAAAGTAATTTAAAGAAAAAATTTTTTTGTGGAATAGTATTTGCTGTTGTACCACTGGGGATAAAATACTTTATTTGCACATTTAAACAGACCATTTGTGGTTGTAATAATGAGCTTATTTTTAAAATGAGAAGGTGAGAATTAAAAAATATAGGGGACCAAATAGCCTGTAACTTTTTTAAGGAGAATAAGCAAAAAATCCTCTCCTCTGAATGAATTATTAACCTGTAAAATCAATTATTTTCTAAAACATAAAAGGGAAAGTAATGTTTTTCACTTTATCACATAAAGGAAACAAGCAAAATAATTCAGTTTCTATACTGTGGGCCAAATCAGCATTTAGATACACAACTACAAAGATAACCTTAATTAATTATCTATATATAATGACTCCTTGAAATTCTAATCTCCACAGCTCAATTAGCTAGATGGTACATATTCAATATAATTTAAAAACTTCTTAATGAAGATGTATTTCTAATTTATAACATGGTTGTTTAATTACAGGCCAGTGAATGTAATTACATATTCTGCTTAAGGATAGAACCTTCTTACAGTTCAGACACTAATAAAAACACTCTCATTATACTCTCTAGTATCAGTCAGTGTAACTGCTCTGAAATTTAGTGTTACATAGAACTTGTTTGTATAAAATAAAAGGAAAGACAAGCACCGTATTATGTTTATTATACGTGAGTTTTAGTATATTTTAAATGTGAATGTATTGTATTAATCTTGTATAGTTGACATGAGAGTTAAAATTATGTATTATCAGTCTGGTAATTTTCCTTTTTTCTGCTCTAAGGGTTTTTTCAGCACTAGTACAATCTTTGAAGCCTCACCCTTCCACTTCAGTGTGTTACAAACACACTTTTCCCAGCTTGTTTGTTCTCATCAATATCCCTTTCCTACATTTCCAGAGGTCTGTGGTCTCACTTTAAAAAAAATAAAACAAACACAAAAAAACACTGGACAGACAGTTGGGGAAAGTACCCATATAATCAAAGGAATAATTTTGAAATCAGACTATTGAAATTGCAAAAATTCTAGCCATTATTGCTCAAATTATCATGATTTTCATGTGCAGCCACAGTAGCTGCTTGCCAGCACTAGCCACTAGACTGCACATCCACTACAGAAGGGGAGTCAGTCAGGACAAACAGGAGTCAGCTTGTGAAATGAGAGTGGCCGTAGCATTTCAGACTAAAGCTCCATCTAGTCTGGCAGCCAAAGAGGATACCCAAGAAGTAGTAAGAACAAGAAAAATGTACTTAAGATGTGCCCCAAGTACTCTCCTGAGCAAATAAGAGAAGAAAATGCAAATGGCTTTCAAACCTAACTCAGAAGTCAAATACCAGAGAGGATCAGGACAGCCATCAAGCTGCGTTTGATTCAAGTAGGAAGCTAGCCATCGCCTGCAAAGCACCGCTGCTCTGCGTTTACTCACAAACTCTCGCTGAGAACATCCACCACCATATCAATAGTCACATTCTCAAATACTGCAGCCTTCCACTGATGTTACTACAATCATTATGCATCAGCTAAAAAAAGCTGTTTTCAGTGGTGTGAGCAGAAATGACAGCAACCTGATATACCAACCCTGCTACCCACTCCAATATATACTGAAACTTTATCTAGACTTATTATCTTTTCCACCTGGTCTACAGATATCTCTTCATAGAGAGCTATCAGAGCTCACCTTCCACCTTCTACTGATCCCTCTTAGTTACATACTACTGAAAGAAAGTCAGGTTGACATCCTAAGTGTTCACTTTATATATCTAAGCAACAGTAGTGCACAGATATAAAAGATAAAGCATCAAAGAAACTTGAGAAGTACTAAATGTATAAAATTTACTATCAGCTTTTAATCTCTTCAAATAGTCGATTTCTTTTGCCCAAGCAGCTACTGCAAATTCACTCTGTTCCCATTGTGACATATCAAACTACTTGGAGGAGTCTATATGGTTAACTACTTCAACTGCATTGCATTAAAACCAGAAAAAACCACCCCTTATCACCAACAAAAACATTTTCCAGAGACTGGATTCTTTTCTATCAATATACCTCAAACTAAGGTAAGATGAGCAGCAATTTCATTTTTTATAGGAACGTGATGGAACCTTGAATCAAATGAAGCTTTGAGACCTGTCCAGACTTTTTTGTTAAACCAACATTCTGAGAGAGGCCAAAGAGGCTTTTAAACTCCAGACTCAGGTTTTGTGTTATAGAAACTAGAACAGAAGCATCTCAAGTGGAGGAAGATCAGAACCCATTGTGTAAGAACAAATAGCAACAAAAGGATATGTTAACGAATTTTCCCCTTGTCCACTGTGTCACTGAAGAGTCTTACTCAAACTCAGTGACTTTTAGGGTAACTGTAATCTCTGCACAACTACCTCTGGGTATCTAGGAAGACACTCCTCTGCCAGCGCTGTGACAGGGCAGTATCCATACTCTGCTCTTTTCAGGGGTCTCCTTGCTGTCCAACAGGCTTCCTGCATTCCTATGCACTCTGCTTTTTCTCCTGACCTACCCTGCAGGCTAGAAGAGCAGTTGCTCTCAAGAGAAGACGATATCTCCACCTAAATCTACCATCCCTTTTCCAGGTAATTTAAGGTAAGAACTGAGAACAAACAGGTAAAAAAATAGTGTCTTTTCCATGTTAATTTCTGGGGGTTTCATTTTTATTTTTTTCCCATAGGAAATGAAAACTGGGATACTTCTACATTTTGTATCATTTAAGGTACTTTTTTATTATTTTCTTTCTTTTCATGATGTGGGATTTAAAAAAATCATGCAGAAGCTTAAATTAGAAATGGCTAACTCCCTTGTTATTATATGTATGAGTAATTCCTTCAAAATATTATGAAGCCTTGAATGGTATGGATATCGGACTGTCGAACTGGCTATTCCTTTTCTTCATTTGCCATTCTCCAGTCACATCCCTTACCAGCAGAGTTTTCAGAAAGCCTTCCACTATTGCAACATGCACTACTTTTCTAGTATGCTTGAATAGAGATGACCTATTTTGCCAACACAAGCACATACGACTCCTGGAGTTATGTTAGCCCATCAGTTAGGTGATTTTCATTTCTGTGCCTTTGCTCCTATTACCTATGCATTGCATGAGAGTTCGGAATCATCTTTCTTGCTGAATGCTGAGGGAAATTATCCTATTTACTATTTTACTATTCCATCTTTTATTTCTGTGGTTAAAGAACACTTGCTAATTTGGTTTCCCTTCATTTGCAAGTCCTACCATAAGTTCTATTTCTATAATTCTCTTGTATCCTCAAAATCTCAATTGCTCCCCCAGTCCTTTGTCCCTACAAGCAATTTTCTTGTTGATCAATGGTTTAATCTACCAACTGTAAACTCCCTGGCTATTCCCAATCCCTTTATTTTCTGCTGGCTGTCCATTCCATTCCATCTGCAATCTTTCCCTATGTTTTTTGTCAGCTTTCTCTCTTTCTGTGTCCCAAGAAAGTTTAAAAGAGGCACCTTAATGAAATTCCAAGCTTCTTGCAGCGACCATTCTCTTTTCTATGATAGAGGAGATTCTCTGGGAAATCTGCAAGTTAATTAACAGTTTTTCTGAGAGTTAAATCAAAGTACTCTACATGAAAGTGCCTGTATTTTCTGAGTATGTTATTTATCACATTTCTTCGACCAGTAAAGGACAAACCTGTCTTGAAAGATACAAATTCTGCAATAACTGAAATTTTATCAGCAGGTTTATTAATGTGAGTTTCCTAGAGACTAGGAGACAAACTTTAATGTCTGGTCTTGACTAAGATAGATACTCTAATAAAACAGTTACTTCTTTAGTAATTTGGCAAACTCTTTGGCAAGATCCACTGAAGCACATGAAGGACGAAAGTATGATAACAACATTATAGTAACATTGCTTTCTGTGCACTTTAAGAAGTCTCCTGTAATTTCCCAGTGGGAAACAGAGCAATACCTTGTGTAAATGAATCTCTTCAGATAGCCTGAGACACTTTCTAATGACTTGTATATTCCACATCAGAATTGCATACATTGTTTGTTTTTCAGCATAGAGTATTTCCAGAAAAATACAAGCATACGTTTAACCCTTTGTTTGGCATAAGTGGAAAAAAACTACCCCCTTTCTCCAAATATATGCAAAAAATAACATTATAACTGAAATACATCACAAGTTCAGGTAAAGATGAGAACATGGCCACCTGTAAATCTCGTTTGAGGTACACAACACCTGCTGCATATAAGTCATCATTTTTCATAGAAGCATGTTTTGTTAAATGTTGATGTGAAACATGAGACACAGAAAACTTAAGGTGTCAGGCCAACAGGTTGTCTTATAATGATAGATAAAAGTTACAGAAAATGCTATCTGATAAGTAATATTCTCCTAAAAATGTGGTTTAACTTAGCAACTGTAAATAAAAATAGTGTAGACTTAGAGAGACTTTTAAAAATATACTTCTATTGAATGTCATTTCAGTCCCTGGGGAACAAACCAGCTCTTTCAACAGCATCTTTTCCCAACTTCAAGCACAAGTCAATCCCCAATGAAACTTACTGGCATAATGGAATGTCATCTTTGATGATGCATCTTCCTCCATTTTTGCAGTATTCATCAGGACAAACTGCAAACATAAAAGTAAAAATTATAATTTGAATTCCTCCCCTCATTATTGTATTTGTCATTGCCTGATTTTCAAAATGGCAAAATATTCACACCTGTCATTTTGGTGCTTAGCACTTCCAAAACCTCTTCCTTTATATCTTGACTTGGTGATACATGTGTCAAGTCATAAATACATTATAGTCAATGGGCTCTCCTGAACTTATAGAAATCCTGGTGCTTCACTTGAACAGGCTTCTAGTTTTTCTCCGGTCAGAGTTTCATTTGACTCCAGAAATGGAGCTTTGCCACTTACTTGATTTTCAAACAAATAGGAATATATAAAAAAAGAGCGAAAAGAACTGAACTTATGTGTAATTAGTAACTAAGTCTACTTTGTTATTAATAGCTTTTATATAGGGGTGATGGACAGACACTTACTCCTGTGTCACCAATCTTCTTATTAAAGATGTCCAGAATTTTAACACTTAGAGTCACACTCTCATAAGAACTAGAGAAATCAGTCTTGAAAAGAGTAAAGGTGTTTAAGTAGAAGGGGATATCAGTGATGTACAATTATCAACTTCTGACATCCCTTAACTTAGATTTCCACATCACCACATTTAGTTTTACTGAAGTTTAGTTTTTCATCCCTACAGCAAGAAAAAACCCAAATAAAAAACAAATCCCCTCAATCTTCTTTAGTAAGAAAAAAACTGGTAAAATGCAAATTAGACCTAAAGAATTTTGGATATATGCCACATAAAATCATTTGCTAAGGCATATAAACAGTGCTATTCAGTGTGGACACCTCCAGTTTTCAGAAGAAATTTTGGAAAGTAAATTACTTAAAAGACCTGCTTTTTGACAAAATAGTGGAAGATTTGTAATTTACTGTCATGCAAGTCTACTAGTTTATGTTCTATATTCTTCTACATTGAACTAATTTCTGAATATATTCCTTTTCATTAAAAATACTTCTTATAAATCAAATTTACCAATTGTGTATTCTCTCTGCATTGTAAAATTGGTATTTTTTGATGTCAAAGTATGATTCCTTCTCTCACATAAAAAAAAAAAAAGGTGTAACAAATATATTTAATGAACACAATATTTGTGGGCAAGTTTCACTCCCAGAGAAACCAGTGGATGCTTCCTACCAAGATGTGAATGGAAAACTTTTAGTTTGTGAATAAACATTTAACATACTATAATGATTTATATTATTACAATTCATACTATATATTGTGAATTTTATCACATAACTGATAATAAATTATAAAAACAGAGAGTTAAATTCTCAGTTAATGCAACTTCACTAAATTTGGGGGAGTACTGTTAACACAAAACTGGCTGAGTTCATAACTGGCTTGGGGAAGAACTGCAGTAACTGTGTCACTGAATGGGATGCTTTGGATCTAAATTTAATTATTTATACCATCATCTATGTTTTTGTTAGATTTTGTTAATAAAACCTGATTCAGATTGGATGTGTATTATTGTCCTGTTCTTACCTTTTGCTGCCATTTAACTGTTGCAAACCAAACCTGGATATTGTGGAAAATGCACTATGCTAAAACAAATGCTATCTATTTTGTTCTATTTTGCAACCTGAATTTGTGTTACACTTGGAAAAACAAAAAACAAAAAACAAACAAAAATTCCTATTAACTCAGAAACATGGGTTAACTTAAGTGGGTTATTCAATTGGCTAAAATCAAGAGAGTGCCTTAGTAGTACACTGTAGAGGCTTTTTTTTTTAAACAATGTTTTTAAACCTTAAGAAACACCCCTTGTGAAGGCGTTAACTAAGGATATTATTTTTCATCTTTTTCTTGCTATTTTATCTGTGTCATACTTTCATCAGGAAAATTCATGCCTGATGTAATCTGATTAAGTTTTAGCAGAGGAAATTCAGGCAAGTTTGAGGACTGCCTAAAGATTCAGTAGGAAATGACTATACTTTTTTGTTTCAAATGATATTTTTATGCAGAACTAAATACCTGAACAGCTGGACTCATCAAGACTGAAATCAATGCAGTCTGCAATGCCATCACAACGCTGGGAGATTGCTATACATTGTTTAGTTGATGCACATAACAAAGAACCATTGAAACAGTCTTTAAGGGCTGAAATGAAAAATAACATGACAGTTATTATCAGCTATATTTTTTTTTCTCACTGTTAAAAAACTACCAGAAAACTTGATTCATAAACTTGCATCTGTGTGACCCCTACAAGCTTTCATCTTCAAAGACATACAACTTTACTATTGAGTAGATAAATAAGTAAACAAACACAGAGCACAGATGTTACAGAAGCTGGATTTTCCCATGTTATATTTGTGAAGAAGAGGAGGGTGTATTTACTTAAAACATTGACAGAGTGAGCTGCAAAACCCCAATGAAAACCCATGACTATATCACAAAAACATAATCAACTCTCATTCATAACCTAGTTTTAAAATGATGGAATTAATTTTTAAACACAAATCAAAAAATTGACATTATATAGTTTTCTTCTATTACAAGAAACCAAATACTAAGAGACAGTTAACATAAAAAGTAGAGAAATACTATACTGAAAAATCTAAACTTGCACACTCTTTTTATTCTTGGGCATTAAGTTATACTTTCTATGTTTGTCCAGAAGAATTATAAGGGGTAAATCTTGCTGGAATCACATAAGCCTTCAGGTGCTGAATTATTCCTGAGTCACTCATCTCCGGGATGTACTTGATGGTCCTACAGACTCCTGTAGAGTCTAATACCATTTTGTCATTTTATCTCAAAAAATTCTCTTATGCTGCCTTAAACTATTGTTCTATAAGGTTTTTGGTTAGGTAATTTAAGCTGAACTCTGTCACCATGACACTAATGCAAATCAGAGGGAACTCTTCTGACTTCAGCAGAGTTAGATACATTCACATTAGCTTGTGAGTTTAGAGTGGGAGAAAGAATCTGGGGATATTAAAAATACCCCACTGCCGCGTCTAAATTTCATAATACTTTCCTGCTCCTGGTTTCAGGAGCCAGTGTACACAGCAATAAGTCTCCCAGGCTGGATGGCCAGGTTGTTGTAGGATATATTTGTTCCACTCTTAGATATAATTTAAATCACTGCCCTATATAGACTGCAAAAGTGTGCTAAATAGAAAATACTGCAGTTCAATCTAGACCACAATGATGGAAGTAAATCTTGCCAGTTAACTCCTGTGAGTTTTGATCTTCTTTCATAAATATGAAATTACTCATGTGAGTAAGGGTTTGTGGGATCAAGCCTTTTAATGACATGCACTGACCATTAACTAAAGTCTGCAGAAAAATCTGTAGAAGAATACTAGCAAATATAAAGAGGAGCTTGCTTTTGTTTCCAATTTCAATTCACCTTTATGAGAACTTAAAAGTTTTGGCTGATTTTAAACTACCACTATACTGTTCTGCACATGTGTTTGTATCAAAGTCTCTTCAATTGACTGGAGCAGTCTTGATATTGCTGGTAAGTGACAGCAGGATAAAAGCAACAAGAAGACCAAAAATTCCCTTTTCTGCTCTCCGTTCCCTTGACCACTCAGTCTGGTGGAACAGGTTCTGGCAGACTGAAAAACCCCAGCAGATTACAGCATCGCTCCACATTTGTAGCATGTCCTACCATCTATCCCTTATGATCATCAGCTTTCCAGAAAGCGACTGACAGTCCCATGCCCTCTGCTGCACTTTCCTAACCAAATAATAATCTCATACCTATTTTGGTGCAATCAGATCCAAATCCTGGACACCCTTTGCGATTTGGGGGATGATGTCCCAATGGTATTTGAACCAGTTTTCTAAGTGGCCATTTGCACACAAATAGCCAGTCTGTAAATGTAATTACATGTTCAAACTAGGACTTCAACAGAAACAATTGGAAAATTGACATAAAACATATTCTTCTTATGTACTTTAGACCTTTTTGGTCTAATAGGACCATCCTATTTTGAGGATGGTGTAAACTATGTGGATATAGAGTACTACTTATGGTTTGTCATATATATTATGATTAATTTGCATTGAAGGTTGTGGTAAGAACAGAAAGTGTCATTTAGCCCTTTATTATTTCCCCTAGTTCTGGACTGGCTGCTGGACTCATACCTGAGGATAAAACAGAAAAAATGCTAATTATTTTTGATCCATTTATATCTGTTGATCATCAAGGTGGTTTTCACATGTCCCTTTACCTTGAACAAGCTTTTTGCACTGAGATTTTTATACCACTTACAGAGGGAACAGTCAGAGCAACAGATCTGACTGCTGAATACTTTGCACAGATCCAGCATTTAAGACAGAAAGGACAGCAACACTAAGTTTTTGGTGCCAAGGTGAAGAAAGTTAAGAGCACATTTTAAAATTATCGGTTTTTCTCTTATTGCATTGAAACTAATGTTGCTTACTGTTAACAGAGTTACAAGTAGCTTCAAATTTCTCCAACTAGTTATTCTTTACCTTCAAGTGTTTTTGGGATAAAGACATTAAATGGAGGCATTAACAACAGTGAAGACATGAAAGCAAAAATATCAGCTTTTCACCTATATTTCATTTTCCAGGACCAAATTAAATCTATAGAAAGGATAAAAATATCACAGCCTCTTTGAAAGTATATAATTTTTAATATTTATTAGGTATTTAAAACTTAGAGGACTACAACAGATACATTTTGGTGCACTACAGAGAACTGAGAAATAATTTTTTATTCATTGCTATTAGCATTTCAGTCAGACGGTGTTGGGGTCTGTAGAAATGTAATCTATATATCCCATTGGTGCTGATATGTTTGTTTTACACCCTTACTATTGTAATCAAGCAGTTAAAAAAAAATTGAAATTAGATTAAATAGGTGAGATAAAGTACCCTTCATAAAATTGACAGCAAGAAGAGGGCTGGCCAAGTAGAACACCTATAACTGGAAAACAGTTCCAAGATTTTCTTGTTAAAAGCAGCAAGTAACAAAATCCTCCACATTAGTAGGTATAAAACAGTATTAACATAATACTGTACAACCTAACTGCTAAGTGAACTCTACGGGAAATTCTGGCTACATAAATCTCTAAGTCATGCAGAAAAGCATTTCTGTGGTAGAAATTGTGGTTTTAGTAGAGATCTGACTAATGCATTTTTTTGTGTGTTTTTCTTTGTCCTGGCCTTCTTTTGGGTTTTAGATTTAATCTCTGCAAGATGCAAGATGCATTTTGACAACTGGTCTTCATCCGAGAAGAAAACTTTCTTTGATGAATTCCTGAATTCAGAAGCCAGAATATTTTTGACCATATATTGTTACACTTAAATGAATGAAATTGCTAAGGAACATGGCACACACAAAATGGAAGGTGCCAGTAGTTCCTAAACTGAAATTTCCTACAATCAGCAGGAAGATTTGATCTGCACCAAGGAAAAAAAAAAATTACTTTGCTCCTTAAATCTTACTCTGTGTTCATAACTGCTTAGAAAAAAAAATATTAAACTTTAACCAAAATTCTGACATCCCCCCCCCCCATATGTGTTGTTGTTACTGTACACATAGGCTGGAGTTACTAGCACAACAATCAATTTTATAGACTATACAGAAATTTCAATAAAATAAATAAAATTCGTGAGATACTTTTTCTCTCTCTGACTTTTCTCTCTTGACAAACTTACATGGCATTCACATGTTAAAAGTAGACAGCTAGAAATGAAATCCTGCACTCTCATGACATATACATTTTGATGGGAGAACCAGCTGTGACAGTAATCAGCTTTTCACTGATTCCATTCCAAACTACCACTAACTGCTTTCTTTTTGCTTTGTCTCCAACCAGTATCTTCTTCAGAGAAGAAACATGAGTTGCTGCTTCTGTATTCCCATCTTATATTGTCAACACTTACATGTCTATATAGTCAAAACTGAATTTTGGCGTAAAAATGGGATTACAGATTTGACTAAGTTTCCACCCCACTCAGAACCTCAAGATGTGCCATATCTATGGAGAATTTTGTTCTTTGAATAGATCAGGACTTCATTTCCCCTCATTCTCTGGGCATTTCTTAGAAGTCAAAGGCAGTGAAACAGTATCTCAGTTGTTTGGGGAGTACTGATAATCATGGAAATCTTGTGGCCTTCAGATTTTGGGATTCTAGAACACATTAGCTGCTGTGGTGTGGAGGTGGGATGTACACGTACTAGGATACAGCAGGGAGGTCTCTAATAGAGGACAGACTGAGGAGGAAACAGGGCTGAATGAAGATTAATGAGGAGAGGTTTATTTGAACTTAAGGACATGTAAAATTTCTACATGCCTTTGGGGTATGTAGAATTTAAGAGATATTTCCAAAATTATGCCCTTTGCCAACAAAAACACAGAGCCTGCTTCTAAACAAAAGTGCCTAGAAAGGCATGCACAGATAGTCTGCAAAATCCATGCCAGTTTTGTAAAGTAATTCGTTAAAAGAAATGGCATGTGCAGTGGCCTGCATGTATATTCAGTAGGTTTGATACAAAATATTAAAGAAGTTGAATTTCTAGCCCCCTGGAAACTAGTATTTTATTAATTGTTTTGGTCCTGATAAGGATGAAAAATAAAATGTTAAAAAACTTCTGCAGAATGAGAAGTTTAGGAAGAAATGTTTTTATATGTAAAAAGCCTCTTTGTTTTTCTATGTAGCTAATTATTTTGACCTTCCTGGAATGAAACATTTGGCCTCAGTTCATCTACCAGTAATGAAATATTTTGAAATGGGCAGACACTCACTTTTGTGTCTCTCTGAAACTTCATGGTATCTCATTGCAGTTACAGTTCAAAGCCCATTGTCCTTGCATTTGGCTTGTGAGCCCTTTTCCTTGATCGGGGCAGAGATTGCTGCTACTGCATGAACAGACTTGATTTCAAAATCCTTGAAAGGTCTGGACTGCCTTGAATGTTACTGAATTACAGAACTGCAAAAGTCTATCTATCTGTCATATGGTAATCAGAGATGAGGCATTGCAAATGCAGCTGACTGATCTATGGAAAAAAGTGGAAATGCTTCCAATTATTAACAGAAATACAATACAAACTATTTCAAGCATTTTTCAAAGCTGATAGCCAGCGAATAAGAATGCATAAGCAAAATTATTTGCAAATGTAGAGTGTTTCTTCAGGTAACACATTATACTTGATATAAATAATATTTCTCTTGATGAGGGAATAGTGAATTTTACACTATGCTTCATTATGTTGTCCTTTTTCACATCACTGTTTTAGGAAAGTGAGTTAGCATCGCCTTAACTACAGCAATGAAAGTAACTTACGGCAGCCAACTTCATCTTCGTTAAGGTGGCAGTCAGGCACACCATCGCACTTCAAGAGGGATGGGATACAGCCTTTGGAAGGACACAGAAACTCTGTTTGCTTGCAGGAGCCTGGAAACATGGTGGTAGGCACCTCTGTGGGACAGTTCATTTCATCACTTCCATCCCTGCAATCTTCAGCCCCATTGCATTTTGCAGCGAGGGGCAAACACTGCTGTACATATGCACATGTGAACTGGTCAGTACTGCAGGTTGGAGGGTGTGGATCAGCTGATCCTACAAGAAAAAAAGGAATATTTATTGATTCTCTTCTTTCAGTAGTCATCTATACTGCCTTTGAGAGGTACAGAGGGACTGATGGGAAGGCAGTTGATTTTGATTGCTAAAGTCGTTAAAAAAAATCCCAAACAACTTGTATAAAAACACAGCTCCTAAGTACAGAATACACTATTAAAAACATTTTGTCTCATCATATTAACTCCATTGTTGTTGTTGTTGCAGCATTTTGCTTCTAAAGCTCAAATTCAGTATTTGTTTTGATCCTATTTCTGCTTGTGCCCTGTAAGTATACAAGGGTTAATACCAAAGTATTACTAAAACTTATCTTTCACCCGGGATCAGGAAAAGGTTAAAATAGCCCTCATGTTACAGTCTTCCTATATTTGGATATTAAATGGGTGGATAAAAATCAAAGACTGTGTAAGTCTGGATCAGCAAGGAACTCATTTCATGGAAAGCTGTTATACATGGTAAGGTCTGAACGCTCAGCAGAGTAAGAAAAGGATTTTCATAAAGTAACAACAAAGTTTTTTACTGATATGGTTTATTATCACTCTGATTTTGTAGCTTAGTTTGATGTGATAGAGAATTAAATCAAAGAAAATAGTAGATAAAAGTTTCTGAGGTACAACTGAAAAAAACCCATATTTTTAAATTTCAGACTTTGACTAACTCAGACAGCTGTCAAAAGAAGAAATATCCCATGCTTACTTGTATTGCTGGAAAAAATACTGGAAAAAACTTTCTGTGATCACTTATACAAATAAATTTGTCTCAGATGCTTTCTTTCTTCCTACAAAAATCATTGCAACTGAATTTTACCAGCAGAAGCATCAGAACTATTTGTGGAAACTGGATTCTAAGAAGCTGTCTATGCTAACGCTGTGTTCTTTACACCAACAGTGTCTCCCATGGGAGCAATGTAATGGATTCCTGCAATTTTTGTTTTATGTGCAGGGAAAAGAGAAAAAGCTCCAGAATTTAACTCTATGTATTTAATCTTTTCTAGGTCAATTTGCAGGAGGTGAGTAAAGAAAATAATATTATGAGAGACAAGGAAATATAGAGACAAGGAAAGACAAATTAATGTCAACACCTTTGTAAAAGACAGGAGGAGTTTTGCTGTTGCCTTGGCCTGAAGCAGAGCAGATCAAGTGCAAAAGTTCATGGGTGGGTTTTAGCTTGCCTTTTGAAATGATGCAAGCATTGTTCTCTGACCTCAGGAGTCAAATGTTACTGCTGCCTTAAGGCATGACACACTGTAAGGGAATACATGGATTTTGGTGTTATTTTACTACTTTTAATTCACTGGGCACAGCAATATGTTTGTGTATTCTCTGATACCAGGCTGGGGTTTTACAGCAGGAGAAATTTGCTGAAACATGCTCAGTTTCTAAAATACCTGCATCATGAATAACAATAGCATTTTGTACAAAAAAATAACTGCTAATGCATTCAGATAAACAGAATACCAGTATTATTTTACCATCTGGTTGCTTGTGAAACAGTTACAGGGAAAAAGAGCTCAAACTGCTGTCTAACATTGACCCTTGCTAGCTTAGCAATTTTGATTTTCATGTCGACTTTATGTCAGAAAATCATAATTGAAAAGCTTCATACAATAAAATATTCCTGACAACATTTCATACCACTAGTGTTGTTAAATTCTACCATGTTACTAGAAAAATATATTTCATACACTGGACATAATCAAAACATAAAACAATAATAATGGATTTTGACACAGTGAAAATAACAACCTACTGATCTTTTGGCTTGTTTGTATTCAGAATTACATCATAAATCCCTCAAAGACATGCACTTTTAAATGGGATTGAAAAGATTGCATTTTCATGGTAGTTGTTTTATAAATGTATCAGTCTCAAAAAAATTATTTTCATTTATGCTACTTCAAAAGGCTTATGAAAGTTGTCTTTAGATAATTGATTATAGACATTTAAATCACATAGGGAATTTATTTTTGAACAAATTAAAAGTATTTCAGTTTTTGCATTTTTTTCTACTTTGTTCCCATATTTTAGCAGATAATTAATAATAGTAGCACATAAAGAAGTTAGAATTGGGTTCATCATGAAGAATTTGTATATAAGGCCATGATTCTGCCAAGATATCAGTGAAGTGTATGGAAAGTCACTGGAAGAACATGTATCTCTCTTTATTGTTATAAACCTGGTACTGTTAAAAATAGAGCAAATCTTAACCAATGGATTTTTAAAAAAATGAACTATTTTATATTTTTAGTTTGCACTTGTTCTGGAAAAAAAAATGTTATGATTATATTAGATAGCATTTTTTTCCCTTCTGTACTTCTGACCCTTTCCCTCACAGTGCCTAGGGGGCATTTAGGCAGTGAAAATGACTTAAGCTGCAGTCAATTCCACTTAGGCCTGCATTTTTGTAGTTGCATAATCCAGTTTCAGTTTTTCTGTGTTTGTTCTGATACAGTGGAAATTAACCCCACACAGTTCCAATACATTTGACTTTCCTACGGTCACTTGTTTATGCTGGAGGAAAGATTGCATTTATAGGACATTTGTGAGCATTTTTTACCCAGCTGAATTCCCTATATCTGTTCTGTTTGTGCTCTGCTAACAGGTTTCTACCCAACTTTGTTCTGAAAATTGAAATCCCCTCTTAAACTCAATAACGCTTGAATGTGTTGCTTGTTGTGAATCTGTTCTTGAGTGTTATACTATCTTCGGGCTCTTGTAGCACTGATCAGTTTAGCCTTGCGGTCCAAATCATATAAATTGCTTATGTGCGTAAATGATCCCATACTAAATTCAGTAGTTAGTTGAATGCTTTATTGAATGAGGGATTAATTTTTTTTACTGTTATTATTTTCTATCATGATTCTCTATTGTTGTTAGAAAATAATGCCTAGAAAGAAGTTCTTCCTGACTTGTGAACCAAGTATTTTAGAGTGTGCAATATTCACTGAGAGCAGTGAAGATGTCTCCAATTTATGCTAAAGATTAAATCAGAGATAAGGTTAACCAGGAGTCTTGAGGTCTGGTTTATGTTTTCAGTACATTAATAAAAATCCAAAGCGATACCCTGAAATCAGCAAAATCATTTTAGATCAGAACAATAAACAAAATGAGATTTACCTTAAAGACTTTAAGAATATCACCTTGCTTATTAACTCACATTATGTATTAATTAGGTCACAACTGTTTGGTTTCAGATGCGATAGGAAAATTGTGCTCTGGATGACATTTGATAAAATGTGATTGCTGTCATCTGCCAAAACTGTACTCCCAAGTTCAATCTATTTTCTTTACATAAAGTAGGTTATAAATGCTTTTCTTAATTACAAATTAAATGTGCCTGGCAAAAATTTTGAAAATTTATAAAACGTTAATTTGTATATAGCTAACATTTAAAACTGACTAATTAGGAATATGCAAATCTAGAAAATCATTAACTAATTCCATCTGAAAAGAAATCTCAAGCAACATATTAACGCAAAACTAGTTACTTGCATTCAAAGCTACTATCTATGTAATCATTTATACTAAGCTTATCATTGCAGTATCTGCTGCTGACATGTTTCATTCTAAAGAGTGGCAATATTCGTTCTGTTTTCTTGCCACTGCTAAGAACTGAACTAAAATGTTAACACTGCAATGTTGTTTGCAGTGAAAAATGAGCTGACTCTAATGAGAGACTCATCATAAATACCCTCTATTGTGCTGAGTTCCACAGTGGTATACTCACCTGACTCAGCCTTAGAAAATAACTTTAAACTTAAGCATATACATGAATATCCACTCTGTAGATATATATGAAGGTTACGTAAACAGCAGAATCTGAAGTGTGTTTTTTCAATGCAAATTGGAGTATCTGTTTGTGGCCCATGGGCCATTTCAGTCACTTAAAATTGTTAAATTCAACAATCACCTAATACTGGCATGCCAAAAAAAATGTTTCCCTCATCTTTTGCCAAATGTGGAAAAGATGTTCTCAACCTAGTACTCATCTCCTGAGTGCTGTGGGGCTCTCATTTTCAGACCACATTCAGGAGTGGAGGAGATACTGTACAGGTTATTTTTTAAAAAAGCAGTATGTATTTGAAGCTGTTTAAGGATTTGGAGATAATTCTACTGAAAATGATGTGTTCTAAGGATCACAGGATAAAAGTTTTGCTTTCTGTATCTAGGCTGCATGACCACTGAAAAGCAGGACTGGAGATCCTCAGAAATACATTCAGTATTTGCACACAGATGAAAAGCAAACTAATCAAAAACAATTTCAGAGAAAATAACCTCTGCTCTGCAGAACACCGAGTCTGGATTTAGATCTGCATGAAAAACAGCAGCAAATTGTTGATGTTCCATTATAGCTAAAGGAATCATGACTTTTTAAGTAGCAAGCTGAGGACATGTCCTTATCTATTTTACTTTGCACTCAGTGTTTTATTTTACACTTATTTTTACCTTGCGTATGGCAAACAACCAAAATTAAAGAAAAGATTTAAAAATGCATATATAACATCTACTTGTACATCATAAAAAAAGGGATTTTAATTAGGTCCTAAAAAAATGACATTTTAATTTGGTCCTAATCCTTTGTGAAACCTACTCACGCAGCTGTGCTGGGTAAGTTATGACCTAAGGACCAAGAAGTGCTACCCTACAAGCATCCTCACACTCTGAAGAGAGTTAGGTAGTTGAGGTAGATACAAAAAAGCAAAAATCAGATCAATGTGTAAAGCAAACCAAATTTGGTATGTACTGCTTCATGAACTGCAATAACTACAGCTGAATATATCTGTATTTCATTGTTGTCAGATAAAATGGGTGCTTTTAGATACATTTTTGTTTCAACTGGCTAACCATCAAAATATCTGTTACAGTAAATAGAGCTCCTGAGCTGATGACTTGGGAGTAAGGAGCCTTTACAGTATGAAAAGTGTTAAGTCAATAAGTGCTCATCGTCAAGGACATAATTACCTATTTGTGGGATATGGATTT